TCTTTCTCAGAAATCTCAGCCCTTCTTATTTTCCACCCAGTTCAGTTTTCATGATCATCATCCCATAGTCTGCTCCACCTCACTCCTCCCAGCCCCAACCTGGACCAATTCACCATCCCTGTGAGGAACCCACCCACCGCCCTCACCCTACTCCCTTGAACACTTTATCTCTAGTGACCTTTTCCTCCACTCCAGAGCAGCAACACAGAATCAGAGTCACCTCCAGAACCTGATCACACGCAACACTGCCTCATCTCTAGGGCGGGACTCCAGAAGTCCCTTCTTCAACTGCAGATTTGTACATTTCCGTCTCTCCAACATTCACTCCTGCTGAGCCAGTCGTTATTTCAATACTGCAGTCCCTCAGCACACGCCTCTGTTTTCAGCTGGTTCTCCTCTCCACTCAGCCTGATATCATGCCCAGTCACTGCAGCTGTGTGCCCACTGGCACCCTCCCCACCCTGGCCCTGGGAACCTTCCCCTACCAGCTCTGCTGGTTCCCAACCTGGAGGAACCCACACACACCACGGTTTTCACTAGCAGTTTCCAAGTTGCTGAGCAGATTTTGAAATGACGTCATCGCACTGATTCATGGTGGCCAGCTTGAGCTGGGTCCTTTGCTGCCTTTCACAAATTATTCTAGTCATCTCTAGGGACTGGTCCATTTTCTTTCTTTCCTTTTTTTTTTTTTTTAGGCAAAGTTTCACTCTTATTGCCCTATCTGGAGTGCAATGGCGTGATCTCAGTTCACCGCAAGCTCTGCCTCCTGGGTTCAAGCGATTCTCCTTCCTCAAACTCTGAGTAGCTGGGATTTCAGGCATGCGCCACCACACCTGGCTAATTTTGTATTTTCAGTAGAGACCGGGTTTCTCCATGTTGGCCAGGCTGGTCTCGAACTCCTGACCTTGTGATTCGCCTGCCTCTGCCTCCCAAAGTGCTGGGATTACAGGCATGAGCCACCATGCCCCACCCTATGTGTCCATTTTCTTTAGCAAGTATTCTTCTGATCCCTTCCGCTTTCCCTCAGATACCCCGATCTCTGCTTCACTCTCCCAGCAGATGAGTTTATCACCTGTGTTAGTGAAATCAAACTGTTTGTCTTCTTGCAAATCCACCTCAAAGTTACTCCATCTTTCATCTTTTTCTCCCTTGGCTCAGAGAGATGCTTCTAGCCCTTTCCAAGATGAGCCCCTCTTCCTGTGTGTCCCACCCTCTTCCTTCCCACCTCCCCAGGCCTCGTTCCAAGAGGAAGTGAGCCACCGTCTCCTCTTCCACCTCCCTTCTCCACCCTGCCATCCCATCAGGGACTTGGCATTTGACTCAGACAAGAAGTCTTGATTTGCTCTTGCCTCTCTCTCCAAACTAGCATTTTTTTTTCCTTTTGTGAACTTATATATTAAAAAGTCTATATCCATTCTGTTGCTTCTTAATTCCCCTTCTTCTTCAACCCACTTCAATCTCTCCCTTCTCTCTTAAAGTGCCAAATCTAAAATCTGCTTTTCTGTTTAAATTTCCTGGACTGGCCTGGTGCGGTGGCTCACACCTGTAATCCCATCACTTTGGGAGGCCAAGGGGGGCAGATAACCTGAGGTTGGGAGTTCAAAACAGGCCTGATCAACACAGAGAAATCCTGTCTCTACTAAAAATACAAAAAATTAGACAGGCATGGTGGCGCATTCCTGTAATCCCAGCTACTTGGGAGACTGAGGCAGGAGAATCACTTCTTAAACCCAGGAGGCAGAGGTTGCAGTGAGACCAGATTGTGCCATTACACTCCAGCCTGGGCAACAAGAATGAAACTCCATCTCAAAAAAAAAAAAAGAAAAATCTCCTGGACCAGCAGCCTTTGAGACAGTTTCTCCTGTCTCTGAGATGTGCTTTCTCCTTTTCAGCACAGCACCTTCTCCCAGCGCGTCCTCACGGCCTCTCCGCCACTCTTTCAGTGCTTTGTTTGGCTGTTCCCCAAATCCCCCACCCACCTGCAGATCTCTTAGATGCTGAGATTCCTAAGGGTTCATCTTTTTTTTTTTTTTTTGAGACGGAGTTTCCCTGTTGTTACCCAGACTGGAGTGCAATGGCACAATCTCAGCTCACCACAACCTCCACCTTCTGGGTTCAAGCAATTCTCCTGCCTCAGCCTCCCAAGTAGCTGGGACTACAGGCGCGCACCATCATGCCCAGCTAATTTTTGTATTTTTAGTAGAGACGGGGTTTCACCTTGTTGACCAGGATGGTCTCGATCTCTTGACCTTGTGATCCACCCGCCTCGGTCTCCCAAAGTGCTGGGATTATAGGCATGAGCCACCGTGCCCGGCCTAGGGTCGTCTTTCTTTTACACATTTTTGTGGACCATCCTGTTAAACCTTTGGGCTTCAATTACTGCAGCTAGCAAGAGCCTCCTGATCTTTAACTTCCAAGACCTGAATTTCCACCTGCGGCTGACCCTGCCCAGCAGCATGGGCGCCAGTGACAGCGGCGGGCTCCTCTCTCTCGCTCCAATCTCACGAGTTCCTCTGGCTTTCCATCTGTCTCAGAACTCACATCACCATGCTCTCCTTTAACTCTTGACTTAGCCCTGTGGGCGAAATCCTGCCTCTGCCTCAGTGGCACCTTCTGCACGTGTCCCCTCTGTTGCTGTGGCTCCGTGGCAGCACCACTCAGCTCCTTTCCAGGCCATCATGGTGGGTACTATCTTATCCAGCCTCCAACCTCACTCCTGTCACTTATTTGTCACCCTGTCCCTAAAGTGACACTCTCAGAACACAGGGCTGACCTTGCCATCTCCCCTTCCTCCAAAGCCTGCAGTGATTTCCCAGTGTGAATGCAGTCCAGGCTCCTCAGAGCGCATGCCCACAGCCCTCCAAGAGCTCTTGCCCTTCCCCTCCCTGCCTCCTCTCCTGCCCCAGCCCCTGAAAACTCAGCCCTCCAATCCAGGCACCGCCTGTGCCCCCTGAACGCAGCGCATTCGTTCTCTCCTGTTTCTGTTTATGCAGGTCTCTAGGTCTGGTTCACTTTAATTCCTTTTTTCCCTACTTAATAAAAATATTCCTAAGACTGGGCATGGTGGCTCACGCCTGTCATTCCAACACTTTGGAAAGGCTGAGGCGGGCAGATCACTGGAACCCAGGAGTTTGAAACCAGCCTAGGCAAGATAATGAAACCACATCTTAAAAAAAATTACAAAAATTAGGTCAGGTGCGGTGGCTCATGCCTGTAATCCTAGCACTTTGGGAGGCGGAGGCGAGTAGATCACGAGGTCAGGAGTTGGAGACCATCTTGGCCAATATGGTGAAACCCCGTCTCTACTAGAAAAATACAAAAATTAGCCGGACATGTTGGCAGGTGCCTGTAGTCCCAGCTACTCGGGAGACTGAGGCAGGAGAATCGCTTGAACCCGGGAGGTGGAGGTTGCAGTGAGCCAAGATCGTGCCATTGCACTCCAGCCTGGTGACAGAGGAAGACACCATCTCAAAAAAAAAAAAGAAAAACCAACAAAAATTAGCTTGGCGTGGTGGTGCAAGCCTGTGGTCCCAGCTCCTCTGGGAGGCTGAGGTAGTGGGATCTCTTGAGCTCAGAAGGTCGAGGCTGTAATGAGCGATGTTTGTAAAACTGCACTCCAGCCTGGGCAGCAGAATAAGATCCTGTCTCAAAAAAAAAAAAAAAAATCCTTATCCCTCAAGACCGAGGTAAAAGGTTTTTTTCCTTCCTCTTTCCACTCAACTGAATTGAGCACTTTGTCCTTCCCCACCACCTAAGTCATACTCTATTACGTCTTCATGGATGGAAAACAGTTCACGGCTTGGCAGCTGGCTCCCCATCTACAGATTCCTTCTTGGCCAAATCTGTATCTTGTCTCCCAAGCACCTGCATGGGACCCAGCTTTACACACACAGGTGCTTCATGCACCTTTGAATAATTCTCATAACTCCATCTTCTTTTAAGCCCCCAAAGGAAAAACACCACCGCCTCCATGGAGTCTGCCACTCATATAAATCTTTTTTCTTTTTGAGATGGAGTCTCACTCTGTCGCCCAGGCCAGAGTGCAGTGGTGCCATCTTGGCTCACTGCAACCTCTACCTCCTGGGCTCAAGCAATTCTCCTATCTCAGCCTCCTAAGTAGCTAAGACTACAGGTGTATGTCACCATGCATGGCAAATTGCTGTATTTCTTAGTAGAGATGGGATTTCACCATGCTGGTTTCGAACTCCTGACCTCAGGTGATGGTCCCAAAGTGCTGGGATTACAGGTGTGAACCACCACTGCACCTGGCCTTTTTTTTTCTTTTTTTTTTTTTTGAGATGGGATCTTGTCCTGTCACCCAGGCTGGAGTGCAATGGTGCAATCTTGGCTCACTGTAACCTCCGCCTCCTGGGTTCAGGTGATTCTCCTGCCTCAGCCTCCTGAGTAGCTGGGACTATAGGTGCATACCACCACACTTGGCTAATTTTTATACATATATATATTTTTTGAGACAGAGTTTTGCTCTTGTTTCCAAGGCTGGAGTGCAATGGCACCATCTCAGCTCACTGCAACCTCTGCCTCCCAGGATCAAGCGATTCTCCTGCCTCAGCCTCCAGAGTAGCAGAGAATACAGGCATGTGTCATCACTCCTGGTAGTAGAGACGGGGTTTCTCCATGTTGGTCAGGCTGTTCTCAAACTCCTGACCTCAGGGGATCTGCCCACCTCAGCCTCCTGGGTTCAGGTGATTCTCCTGCCTCAGCCTCCCAGAGTAGCTGGGACTACAGGTTCGTGCAACCAGGCTGGGGGCTAACTTTTCTATTTTTTGTAGAGACAGTGGTCTCGCTTTGTTACCCAGGGTGGTCTCGACCTCCTAGGCTCAAGTGATCCACCTGCTGTGGCCTCCCAAAGTGCTGGGATTACAGGCATGAGCCACCATGCCAGCCTTTCTATTCTGAAGTTGAACATTTTATCCTATCAGGATGCCTTGCTGGGATTTGAGCTCTCTCCCGTTTGACGGTGCATTGATCCCGTGTCCTACCTTAGCTGGAATCTTGGCTGCGTGGTTCTCTAGAATCAGTCTCTTTAGGTGCAGAACCCAGAGGCGTTTGTCTGGCTGGGATTTGGCCTGCCAAGACGAGATGTGGACAGTCAGACAACTTGATTCCTCCGTCCACAGGACCCTCTGATGAGATGGGAATTGACCATGTGGCCAGAAGGCTCTTGAAAAGCCACATAGCACTCATTGTTCACAAAGGGGCTTGTGGGGAGGCCCGGGCCTGCCGTTACCTGGACTGTGTGCTGCAGCTTGGGATTCTTGTAGTGGAAGACGCTGAAGCTGAGTGGCTCCTTTGGAATCACCTCCACGAGCATGAGGTTGCCACACTGGAGCAGAGAGAGCAGAGAGGGTGAGGCACGCTCGGGAGGGAGCGGCACTGGGGATCTCAGTCCCTGCCCTGGCCAGCATGCAGACCTACCAGGATGTGAGCTTTGTACGTAAACGTGTCATCTCTCTTCTTCGTGATGAGCAGCAGCTTGTCGAAGAGGAAGAGCGTCCGCTCGTTCTTGGCTCGCTGGAGGCGGAAGGTTCCCTCAAGCACCAGTTCCCCGTAGCTGGTCAGGTCTGGCCCCTTCCAGTTAGTGAGCAGACTCTGTATTTCCTGAGAAAGGGAATGAGGCCACAGCACTTAAAAGGAAGCAGAGGCCAGGAACCAAGGGCTTGGTGGCTCATCTATTGAGCCTCAAGAATGGTGACAAATCATCCCTGATGGGGGCTAACAATCTACATGGTATCTGATGGTCTGTGGGTATAAATCTGCATTTACAGGTGGCGCCACTTAAGGGTTAACAGAACTGAATCAGGCTGTTACTTGATGAGCTGCTAATTACTTGTTTCCATTCCTTAATCATGCCGTGATATGGTTCATAATAGCTGCTACATTTTTCAAAAGCCACGTCCAGGGGCCACTAGTATGGGACCTTCTCAGGCAGGCCTCCTTCCCTTGATTTTTTTTTTTTTTTTTGTTTTGTTTTTTTGAGTCGGAGTCTCGCTCTGTAACCCAGGCTAGAGGGAAGTGGTGTGATCTCAGCTCACTTCAACCCCCACCTCCCTGGTTCAGGTGATTCGTGCTTCAGTTCCTGAGTACCTGAGATTACAGGTGCCCACCTTCATGCCTGGAAATTTTTTTTTTTTTTGTATTTTTAGTAGAGACAGGGTTTCTCCATGTTGGCCAGGCTGGTCTTCTACGCCTGACCTCAAATGGTCTGCCCATCTGGACCTCCAAAAGTTCTGGGATTACAGATGTGAGTCACTGTGCCTGGCCCCTTCCCTTGATTTTTCTCACCCCCTCTTCTCTGGGAAGAAAACCTTCAGAGCTGTTGAAGACTTTCTTCCAGATATTGAAGTTCATTCATACCACACAGAAGAAATTCAAAAGTAAAGCCTATAAAAAAATCAGCCCTGTCATTTTCTCAGAAATTTCCTGAGTTTAAATTTACTTACTCAGGGAAAGGAAATGAACCTTTGCACCTAACTTATGTTTTAGTGCTTTTTTATTCAAATTTTAAATTTTTATGAGTACACAGTAGGTGTATATATTGATGGGGTACATGAGATATTCTGACAGGCATACAATACATAATAAACACATCAGGGTAAACGGACCTCTGTCATCTCCAGCATGTATCATTTCTTTGTGTTACAAACATTGCAATTATACTTTCGGTTATTTTATAAATTATTGTTGACTATAATCCCCTTATTGTGCTATCAAATACGAGATCTTATTAATTTTTTTTTTTTTTGAGATGGAGTCTTGCTCTGTTGTCCAGGCTGGAGTGTAGTGCTGCCATCCTGGCTCACTGCAACCTCTGCCTCCTGGGTTCAAGTGATTTTCCTGCCTCAGCCTCTCAAGTAGCTGGGATTACAGGCATCTGCCACCATGCCTGGCTAATTTTTGTATTTTTAGTAGAGATGGGTTTCACCACGTTGGCCAGGCTGGCCTCAAACTCCCAACCTCAGGTGATCTGCTTGCCTCAGCCTCCCAAAGTGCTGGGATTACAAGTGTGAGCCATCGTGCCTGGCCCTCATTTAAAATTTCCTAACCTTGGTTGACCACTGGCAAATGAAATTGCAGAAAGTGAAACTGTGGAGCTGGGGCAGGGGGGCGGGCGGGGGCCGGGGGACGACTGTATTCAATAGATTCTGACATGTCTGCAGAACGCTTGCATGATAAAGCGTTAAACTTTTGTTGCTATTGCAAAACACAAAAGCAGCCTGGAAGATGAGCATGTCATCTGCCTCTGATTTTTGATCGTAAACAGCATCACACCACACTCTGGCTGCCTAGACCTGAAACCTATACAGAGTTTGTTCTGATTTACGAGCCAAACAATGTATCTTTTTTCCAGAGTTAGGTAAGGCCAGTCTGCATAGGGTCAAGTCACTTTGGGCTTTTCTGTCTCTCTCTAGTGACAGCCAGGAGCCTGGAACTGGCCTCTGGGACCACACAGCCTCTTGTTTTGTTTTTAATAGTGCATTTGGTCAGGCGAGGTGGCTCACACCCGTAATCCCAGCACTTTGCGAGGTTGAGGCGGGTGGATCAGGAGATCGAGACCATCCTCCCCAACACAGTGAAACACTGTCTCTACTAAAATACAAAAACGTAGCTGGGCATGGTGGCGCCCACCTGCAGTCCCAGCTACTTGGCAGGGTGAGGCAGGGAAATCGCTTCAATCGGGGAGGTGGAGGTTGCAGTGAGCTGAGATCACGCCACTGCACTCCAGCCTGGTGATAGAGCAAGACTCTGTCTCAAAAAAAAAAAAAAAAATAGTGCATCTATTGAGGTGCCCAGGGCATGATCACTGGCTCAACATCTGTCAAAATGTCCTGAGGATTTAGGGCTTAAAATGTTCATGCTGGATAGGCCTTTAGCCAACTTCTCTGTCTTATTTTTAAAATGAAGAAAGCGCTGGGTGTGGTGACTCAAGCTTGTAATCCCAGCACTTTAGGAGGCCCAGATGGGCGGATAACCTGAGGTTAGGAGTTCGAGACAAGCCTGGCCAACCTGGTGAAAACTTGTCTCTAGTAAAAATACAAAATTAGCTGGGTGTGGTGGTGTGCCCCGTAATCCCAACTACTAAGAAGGCTGAGGCAGGAGGATCGCTTGAATCTCAGAGGTCAAGGTTGTAGTGAGCTGAGATCATGCCACTGCACTCCAGCCTGGATGACAAGAGTGAAACTTCATCCCCTTCCCTCCACCTCAAAAAAAGGAAATTGGAATGATGTGCTGGAGGGTCACTTCCCATGTGAAACTGTAAAGGCGCTGGTTCAGCCTTGGCCCCCCTTACTGCGCATCCCCTGCCTATGACCACCCATGCATCACCTCATGGTTTTGTAGGAACTGGGAGCAGAGGAATAAAGGCTTAAAAATCCTTTACATAGTTTAGGGAAAGTTGCTTTCAACAAGAATTACTAACTTTGGCCGGGCACGGTGGCTCACGCCTGTAATCCAAGCACTTTGGAGGCCAAGGTGGGCGGATCACCTAAGGTTGGGAGTTCAAGACCAGCCTGACCAACATGGTGAAACCCCATCTTTAAAAGAAAAAAAATTAAAAAAAAAAAAAGAATTATTAACTTTGAAATTAATAGAAGTAGGAGACTCCAAATTTTAACTTAGGTCATCAAAGGGGCTATAAGCAAACAGTTAGCTTAAAAGTTATAATGTCACTTTCTCTCAAATAGCCATAGTAGACAATGATCGGTATTACTGGTGTCCTGACCTGCTTTCAGGGAGAACTACGCTGAAGGCCATTAATGTAGTGCAGTACTTGAGCAGCCTTAATATTTTACTGGGAAAACTGAGTCAGGACACCTGCAAACCTCGTGGGCTCACCTGTAACCGGACCGCGTGCTCGTGTTTCCGCTTCATGTCATTGATGTGCCAGGCGACTCGCTGCATTGTGTCTATAGCATCAAGCACCACATCATAGCCTTCTGTGTCCTTATCAAGGTGATTTTCTATTTCCTTCAACAAAAAAGAATGAGGTTTTTTTTTTCCTTTTTTCCCCATTTTTTTCATACAGTCAGTGAAAAAAATGGCACCTCTATGATTAGTTCCTTATATTTGATTTTTACTTATTTATTTATATACTACTGGCTGGGTGCAGTGGCTCACACCTGTAATCCCAGCACTTTGGGATGCCGAGGTGGGTAGATCACCTGAGGTCCAGAGTTTGAGACCAGCCTGGCCAAAATGGCAAAACCCCATCTCTCCTAAAAATACAAAAGTTAGCTGGGTATGGTGATGGGTGCCTATAGTCCCAGCTACTCAGAAGGCTGAGGCAGGGGAATCACTTGAACCTGGGAGACAGAGGTTGCAGTGAGCTTAGATTGGGCCACTGCACTCCAGCCTGGGTGACAAAGTGAGACTCTGCCTTGAAAAAAAAATTCTTACACACTACCATCATTCTTTAAGATTTTGAGGCCAGAAATACCTGCAACAAAATGGTAAGACAAAAAAACAAAACAAAACAAAACAAAAAAATAAAAGAGGGAAGATAAAAGTAGAATAGGATTGCAGGATAAATAGGATAAAATACAACATGCATGTAGCCCACTGGGTCTCACAGCGGTATTACAGTTACTATAACAGACATGTGGAGTTCTGAGCTTCTTGGTGGCCAATGTCATACAGTTCTCAGTAATTTAGTTCTCACTCTCACAAGACCAAATACATGCTTATTTTTCCCCCTTATTTATTTAGGAAGCAAAATGTTCCATACAGGACCTTAATATTTAATAGAGCAAAAATATAGTGCAAATTATCTTTAAAAATTATCTCTATAGCAATTACGTTTTCCTGTAGTCAAGGTTTTAAAGGCCAAATGAAGTTCACTAAAGACAGTCCTGCTAAGTGTCAAGAGAAATCTCGTGGTTTTACCACTCAGTACTCTGATGGGCGGAAGTGTGTTACATTAGCAATCACCACACCATTGGAGGCCTACAGTCCCAGGAGAGAGGGACAGGATCTTTGTTCTATTTCTTTTGAGCCCATAAGACATCTGTCCCTAGATCCTCAGGAGTCTAAGGATAGAGACTATTGTATATAGTGCCTTTGATTCTTTATTTTCTCCACAGTGCCCAGCAGAGAGCTGGGTGGTAAATAAGCGCTTACTAAATTGAGAAACTATGGGCCGGGCGCGGTGGCTCAAGCCTGTAATCCCAGCACTTTGGGAGGCCGAGGCGGGTAGATCACGAGGTCAAGAGATCGAGACCATTCTGGTCAACATGGTGAAACCCCGTCTCTACTAAAAATACAAAAAAAATTAGCTGGGCACGGTGGCGCGTGCCTGTAATCCCAGCTACTCAGGAGGCTGAGGCAGGAGAATGGCCTGAACCCAGGAGGCGGAGGTTGCGGTGAGCCGAGATCACACCATTGCACTCCAGCCTGGGCAACAAGAGCGAAACTCCGTCTCAAAAAAAAAAAAAATTGAAACTATGTCCTTCTTAAAAACAACAATAACAGTAATCCTATATTAGCACTTAAAACAGTAAGAAAACATTGTAGTCAATTAGATAGTTCCTGTGACATTTATCATACATAATCAGCTAATGGGTGGAGGTTCAACATTATGGTACCACTTGAAGGCTAGTCCTATTATTTTATAGTAACAATGTAAATCTTTGTTTACTTTTACTGAGTCGTGAAGTTTTTCATCTAGCTAGAAACTGCAAAGGAATTTACATTTTCTTTCCATACTTGGACTCGGCTATTAACAAGGTCCTAAATGGCAAATTTAAAAACATAAAGATTTCTTCTTTTAGTCTGAGAGACAAGTATGTTCATCAGTAAACAAACTGGGAAGTACAGAGGCTATTTCTATGGGGATTTTCATGGATGGCAACATAACTTTGAAATGATGTGAATGACGTAGAGGGAGCCATCTAATCAACTATAAAAACAGAAAACGCTTCAAAAGCAACCAGAAGTTAGTTTTGGATTAATCCAACCACTGTTCTTTCTTTTTTTCTTCATTGCCAACTCTTAATATGGAAGATAAAGGCTGTTTTTCCTATTAATTAACGTTTTGTAAGTATCTTAACTTGTTGTCTCACACGTTTAGCTAACTGAGATCTTAAACTTTCCTTTTTACTGAAGGCCATCTTACTGTCTAAAGACCATTTAGAGATTTTTGAGACACATTAGTCTCAGACATTATATAACAGAATTCAGCAGAGATGTGTCCTGCACAAATGTTATTTATTTAAGAATTATTTAGTGGCTCACACCTGTAATCCCGGCACTTTGTCGGGCCAAGGTAGGTGGATCACCTGAGGTCCGGAGTTTGAGACCAGCCTGACCAACATGGTGAAACCCTGTCTAAAATACAAAAATTAGCTGGGTGTGATGGCGGGCGCTGGTAGTCCAGCTACTCAGGAGGCTGAGACATTAGAATTACTTGAACCCAGGAGGCGGAGGTTGCAGTGACAGTGAGCTGAGATCGCGCCCCTGCACTCCAGCCTAGGTGACGGAGTGAGACTCCCTCAAACAACAACAACAAGAACAAGAATTATTTGGGGCTGGGCACGGTGTAATCCCAGCACTTTGGGAGGCGAGATGGGCAGATCACCTGAGATTAGGAGTTCAAGATAAGCCTGGCCAACATGGTAAAACCCATGTCTACTAAAACACACACACACACACACACACACACACACACACAAACTGGGTGTGGTGGTGGGCACCTGTAACCCCAGCTACTTGGGAGGCTAAGACAGGAGAACCACTTGAACCTGGGAGGTAGAGATTATAGTGAGCCAAGATGGCGCCACTGCACTCCAGGCTGGGAGACAGAGCAAAACTCTGTCTCAGAAAAAAAAAATTATTATCTGGACACTGATTTAGCAAATAAATCCCACTAAATCTAAGAGGTCATTAGGGTTAATGTAAAAATTAAAATAATATCCCTGATGTGACCTCGTAGAACACAATATTCTCCAAAGATGAGCTACCCAGCAAACAGACAAAGCTAAGTAATTACTAGTAAAGATGGACCAATAAAGTTCTTGAAATTTTAAACATATATGAACCAAGCAAATCTGAAATAATTATTCAAGTTAGAAACCTAGAATCATTTAAAAAGAGATACCTATAAATTGCAGGCCTTTTGACATAGAGAGGAACTCTGAATTAAAATTCCTTTAAAAAGGAGATTTTCTTTTTTATTTTTTTTCCAAGAAGGGAGAAAGTGAAAAAGGAGATTTTAATGTAACATAAAAATAATAAAAACAATAGCTTATTTTTTTTTAAATTTTATTTTGAGACAGTCTCACTCTGTCGCCCAGGCTGAAGTGCAGTAGTGCAATCTTGGCTCACTGCAATCTCCACCTCCCGGGTTCAAGAGATTCTCCTGCCTTAGCCTACCAAGTAGCTGGGATTACAGGCACCCACCACCATGCCCAATTAATTTTTTTGTATTTTTGGTAGAGATTGGGGTTTCACCATGTTGGCCAGGCTGGTCTTGAACTCCTGACCTCAGGTGATCTGCCCGCCTTGGCCTCCCAAAGTGCTGGGACTACAGGCATGAGCCACCGTGCCCAGTCACAATAGCTTACTTTTATCAGTGCCTGTGAGCCACAGTGCATGTGGGCAATTTATAGGATTCAGACCCAGGCAGTCTTTCCCAGAGCCCTGTTCCTAACCACTCCACCGTACTGTTTTTCTTCTGCTACAAAAGTAAGCAAGTTCTACTTCAGAATGAAAATCACCTATGATAATACCTTTTTTCCCATTCCTATCAACTTTTTTGGAGGGTAAGAAATAAGAAGTTGAGGCTGGGCATAGTGGCTCATGCCTGTAATCCCAGCACTTTCAGAGGCTGAGGCAGGAGGATTACTTGAGCTCAGTAATTCGAGATCAGCCTGGGCAACATGTTGAAACTCCATCTCTACCAAAAATACAAAAAAATTAGCCAGGCATGGTGGTGCACACCTGGAGTCCCAGCTACTCAGGGTGCTGAGGTGGGAGGATCGCTTGAGCCCAGGAGGCAGAGGTTACAGTAAGCTGTGATCACATCACTGTACTCCAGCCTGGGCGACAGAGCCAGACCCTGTCTTAAAAAAAAAAAAAAAAAAAAATCTGGGCATGGTGGTAATCCCAGCACTTTGGGAGGCCGAGGAGGGTGGATCACAAGGTCAGGAGTTTGAGACCAGCCTGGCCAAGATGGTGAAACCCTGCCTCACCAAAAAAAACAAAAAACCACAAAAATTAGCCAAGCGCAGTAGTGGGTGCCTGTAATCCCAGCTACTCGGGAGGCTTAGGCAGGAAAATCACCTGAACCTGGGAGGTAGAGGTTGCAGAGAGCCGAGATTGTGCCATTGCACTCTAGCCAGGGTGGCAGAGCAAGACTTCTTAAAAAAAAAAAAAAAGAAAGAAAGAAAAGAAAGAATTTAAGAGCTATGATTACCTTTGTTTCTAAAGCTTTCTTGGATTTTGTAAAAGCAGTAGAAAATAATGTAAGAGGAAATACCTGCAGTGATGCTAAGCTCAGCTGGGAGGCCATCTATCACGCTGCTCATCTGTCCTCTCCCTTTTCAGCCCTTTCTCTTTGCTCTCCATACAAAAGCCAATCTATGACAAATAGGTTTTCCTTTCAATTGCCTACTGAATCAGGGCTGATGGAAACATTACAAAATCTGTTTTTCATTTGCATGATAGCTCCCTGCCTGAAACTGTCAGTGCCGAGGGCGAGGCACTCCTAAGCCCCATCAGAATCAGAGCTAAGATTAATCTCTTCTCTTGGCTGTTGTCAATGGGGCTACGGGTCTAGAATATAAATATCTCTAAATCCTCAAAGCAGATTAGTCAGTTGTGAAATATGAGTGTGGGAAATGTTTCCATATGTCCACAGCATTTTCTGGTATTTTCCCCCAAACTTAATATATACACACAAAACTCCCATCCCCTGGAAAGTGCTCACGCCAGGCAGAAACTTACATGCAGAAGGAGATGATACTTGAGAATCCGCTGAACTGGTTTCAAGAGATAGGACCCCAGAGGCAGCGAGTGTTTCAGAGTTTCCTGACGTTCCCTGAAGAATTTGGCCAGTATCTTATTCCTCATGCACTCTGTTAGCATGGCCACGGATCTGCAGAAAGAGTCCATGTTATTATCTAAATTGTAATGCTTTATGGGATACTCAAGTTTTAAATGTCACTGCAAGTATAAATGCCCTAAAAAGAGTAGGGTAGCTGCAGACTTGTGGCCAGATCAGCATGCCTTTAGGCAAACTGGAGAAAGGTTCCTCTGGGAGGGTGAATTACAAAAAGGAAATTAGAAAAAGGCACTGGGCCAGGCGCGGCGGCTCACGTCTGTAATCCCAGCACTTTGGGAGGCTGAGGCTGGAGGATCATCTGAGGTCAGGAGTTTGAGACCAGCCTGACCAACCTGAAGAAACCCCATCTCTACTAAAAATCCAAAAAAATTAGCTGGGCGTGGTGGTGCATTCCTGTAATCCCAACTACTCGGGAGGCTGAGCAGGAGAATTGCTTGAACCCAGGAGGCAAAGGTTGCAGTGAACTGAGATTGCACCACTGCACTCCAGCCTGGGCAACAAGAGGGAAACTCCATCTCAAAAAAAGAAAAAGGCATCAGACCCAGTGGCACTGGCACCATGGGCTCATGGCTTCTAAGGAACAAGTTCCTTCCTTCTAGGAGATGCAGACTTGTGCCAGGGCCCCTAGATGGGCCCTATCTGGGTATCTTTGGGCAATGCTCACACAGCACATCTGTATTCCATTTCCACAGGTTAGATTAAAAAGAGTAGGCACGTTTTGTACTAAGAAAAAGGAGTTCCTTCTTGCTAGAAGATCCAGCCCTGTCAGAACATTTATCACAACTCCCTCTGCTGGTCACTTTTTTTTTTTTTTGAGACAGAGTCTCGCTCCGTCACCAGGCGCCAGGCTGGAGTGCAGTGGTGCAACCTCGGCTCACTGCTCGTATCATAAAGCAAGCTAATGGCTGGTGCAGTCTCACATGGGTAAATTAAAATCTTTGTTCTCAAACTGTAGAAGGAAGCAAGTACAACTAATTTCAGCCCTTTTCTCCCTAAGTCAGTAATGTTTCCAGGATTAATTGAAAAAGATCAGATAGAGCCAAACAACAAAGTAAGACCATGAGGAAGGAGGTGAAATGGAAGTTTCATAATTAAGCCACAGAATCCCTTTTTTTTTTTTTTCTGAGACGGAGTTTCACTGTTGTTACCCAGACCAGAGTGCAATGGCATGATCTCGGCTCACCGCAACCTCCGCCTTCTGGGTTCAAACAATTCTCCTGCCTCAGCCTCCCAAGTAGCTGGGACTACAGGTACGCACCACCATGCCCAGCTAATTTTTGTATTTTTAGTAGAGACAGGGTTTCACCTCGTTGACCTGGATGGTCTCGATCTCTTGACCTCGTGATCCTCCCGCCTCGGCCTCCCAAAGTGCTGGGATTATAGGCGTGAGCCACTGCGCCCGGCCAGAATCCCTTTTGTGCCAATCTACTTTGAGAAATATCTGTTCACACTAATTTATTTTCCTCTTGAGTCGAGGTTTCAAAACTCTCCATCTCCTCTCCTAGGAATGTTTCTAAGGTTATTTAGAGCCAGATTTGGCTGCTCTGTAGCCCTTTGGCCACCTGAAGGCTTTGGCTCTTGCTCAAGGGTAAGAACCGGTAACAAATTAGGAGCATGCTGAGCTCCAGGTTCCTGGAAGTCTTAGGGACAGGCAGGTATCTGAGGACAAGGACCTGGCCGGGTTTGCACCCCTCCCTGGGGAACAGAAGGTGGGAGCTTTTGTCTCTTCACAGTCAAATCACTGGGGCGTGACTGGTATGAGGAAAGTGGACACTGTCAAGATGTGCCAGCGACACTTCATGTCACCACCCTGGATCCAAAGCGGGAAGGAAAATTGTCAGATGGGCTGAGACACCTTGCACTCTTGGCTTGTTAAACTGGGGAAGGGAACCTCGGGTCTCAGAGATAAACTGATTGGATATAAGATACAATCTTTCTCTATGAATATGAAAACCACACAAGTAGACAAGAAACAGACATGTCTTCTTCACTGAGAACAACTCTTGAGTACCTCTCTGCTAACATGTTTCTTCAAAGTCAGATTCAATTTCATTTTAAAAAAAAAAAAGGTAACTTTCTTGCCAGGCATGGTGGCTCATGCCTGTAATTCCAGCACTTTGGAAGGCTGAGGCTGATGGATCACTTGAGGTTAGAAGTCTGAGACCAGCCTGGCTAACGTGGTAAAACCCATCTCTCTTAAAAATAAAATAATTAGCTGGGCATAGTGGCGTGTGCTTGTAATCCCAACTACTTGGGAGGCTGAGACAGGAGAATTGCTCAAACCTGAGACGCAGAGGTTGCAGTGAGCTGAGATCATGCCACTGCACTTCAGCCTGGGTGGCAGAGCAAGACTGCCTCAAAAAAAAAAAAAAAAAAAAAAGACAACTTTCTCCAGAAAATTATCCTAAACCTTGAACTTTTATTACACATTACTGAGTTTTTCCTGTTAATTTATATTTATTTGATCTTCCAAAACATGCTTTTCTACCATTGCATTTAGTTACATCTGACCTTCAAAGGAATAGAAACAGCTTGAAGGAAAAGGGATATTGTTTGCTATTTCCTGCCAACATACACAAGTTTGGGACATGCTCCATGAATGACAGGCTTTTTTTTTTTTTTGAGACTGAATTTCGCTCTGTTGTCCAGGCTGGAGTGCAGTGTTCAAGCGATTCTTCTGCCTCAGTTCCCCGAGTACCTGGGAGTACAGGCATGAGCCACCATGAATGGCTAATTTTTGTATTTCTAGTAGAGACAGGGTTTCACCATATTGGCCAGGCTGGTCTGAAACTCCTGACATAGTGATTCGCCCGCCTCAGCATCCCAAAGGGCTGGGATTACAGATGTGAGCCACCGTACCCAGCCAGAATGACAGGCTCATAAAAATGTCCTTGCACAAATGATTCTGCCTTATCTGGGTCTGAAGCAGCCTAGCATATAAAGAAGCTGTTTTTATTTTGTACTCTTCTTAGTAAATCACAAAATCTTCTGAATTTGCAATTTTGTAAGTTTAAATTAAGAAGTTATTTCTTCAAATGACATGTTTATACTGAAATTTATACAAAACTAATTCCCCAAACAAGCTCCTGTATCATTTTAGAGTCTCATAATTGGGTCTAGAACTTTGTTGATCTTCAGAATCTGAATGTTTTTTCCTTCCTTGAGGAAGAAGTTTTGTGGAGAAGTTGAGGGCCGATTCTGTGACTTCTCTGAATTGGGGTGGGAGGCAAGCTGGGTTTTGGTTTAGAACCTTGGGATTTAGTCAGGGCATGCTGCAATCTTGTGATGTTTTCGGCATTAAAGTGGAAACAAATACTTTAAGAGAGAAAATTGCTTAAGTGAAACCATGTAAATTAACTATGGGTGGGTCTACAGATACAGATGTGTGATAAATGTTCTAATATGCATGTGGGTTTTTTGTGTTTTTGTTTGTTTTTTTAGGGAAATCTGGGGAAAGCATGGGTCCCATAAGGAAAAGTATTTGCCATAAGTTGAGCCTCTGAACTTCTGGCTTCTTGGGTCTTTTTTTTTTTTTGAGAAAGAGTCTTGGTCTGTTGCCAAGGCTGAAGTGCACTGGCATGATCTTGGCACTGCACCTCTGCCTCCTGGGTTCAAGCAATTCTCCTGCCTCGGTGTCCTGAGTAGCTGAGATTACAGGCATGTGCCACCACGCCTGGCTAGTTTTTGTATTTTTAGTAGAGACGGGGTTTCACCATGTTGCCTAGGTTGGTCCCGAACTCCTGACCTCAGGTGATCTGCTTGCCTCCCAAAATGCTAGGATTACAGGCATGAGCCACTGCACCCGGCGGCTTCTTGGGTCTTTATGAGACAGGATCTTGCTCTATTGCCCCAGCTGGAGTACAGTGGTGTGATAATAGCACGCTGTAGCCTCAAACTTCTAGGCTCAAGCTATCCTCCTGCCCCAGCCTCTGGAGTACCTCTAGGACCCCAGGAACATACTACCACACGCAGCAACATCCTGGGTCTTTTAATCCACACTGGCTTTCCAGGGTTGCTCCTGACAGTGGGGAGCAGGGTGCCCATTGTTTTCCCTTCCGGAAGTAACACTCAGGGCTCAGCCTGCTGGCTTCTCTTCTAGATGGGTCCTACCACCCACTTTATCATCAGGGACCTGTCTACCAAGACCGGACACAGAGTGTGGAGAGTCTCCCTAGCTCTCTTCTTCCTAGCTGGTCCTTAAGATAACTCAAAGTCTGGTGGGGTGCGGTGTCATCCCAGCTACTCAGGAGGATAAGGTAGGAGAATTACTTGAACCGGAAGGGGGAGGTTTCAGTGAGCTGAGATTGCGCCACTGCACTCCAGCCTGGGTGCCAGAGTGAGACTCTGTCTCAAAAAAAAAAAAAAAAAAAAGAAAAGAAAAAAACCCATAACTCAAAGTCCTGCTAATCGTGTGGGAAAAAAAGGAAAATAAAAAGGCAGGGTGAGAATCACAAAGTTTCAGAAACTTTTACAAGAATATACTCATGTAAGCATGAGGTCTTACAAGTGGGAGAAGAAAACCTTGGTTCAAATCCAAGCTGGGCCATTCATCAGCTTGCACCCTTCATAGAATCACTTTACCTATCACAGCGTATTTCATCCACAAACTGGAGAAGCGACAGGGGTGACAATGAACTCACACTTAGGAAGAACCTAGGAGGGGCCAGGCACTGGGATGGGCGTTCTGGATTAAAAAAAATTTCTCAATGTCTCTGGATTGCTTTGAAAAGTTAAATTTAGTACTTTGTATTTAGAGCATTTAGCACATTGCTTAGGAATTACTAAGTGCCCAATAAATGTCTTCTGGAGAAAAAAAAGAAATTCCTTCAGTTGTAGCCCATCATCTTAGGCCTGATTCTGTTACTGAAATGGTCGACGCACTGTCCCAAGATGCTTTTACACCGCCCTTCTGCCATTGCTTTCTGACGTCAGGAAAAATGAAGCAACAACCCAGGCGAGCCGCCGCCCCTCTTCTCATCAAGGCTTATGGCGATCTGTCCTTTCTCTGAACTCCATTTACATAGTTCATAAAACGTATTTAGCAAAAAGAGCACCTGTTTTCTCCCCACCTAGATTATAGAAACTCATTAGCAACGTTTCCTAAATTCTTAAAAACATGACACACACAGAAAAGGGTTAGCAGACAAGACCTGCAGCCTGATGCACAGCTGGCTTAGCTTCTTTTTGGAGATACCTCGTCATCTTTTTGGTTTCTTCCATACACTTTTAAAATTTTCCCCACCCTGCCTCTTCAGGCAGCCCCAAAGTCCAGATGGACCCTTATCTGGGTGGCCCTGTAATCTGTTCTCAGCACGTTTTGCATTCTTCCCATAGTATTCAGCAGAGGACAGGCAGAGAATGCCTAGCAACCACCTGTATTGCTCTGGCTGACCTGAAACAACGTGAAAGTGAACAAAAGTACTCCTGGCCCATTCTTGATCCATACCTTGGATAGTTAGTGCAATACTGGGTATAAATGTGGAACTCTTCACTCTGCAAGGAAAGAAAAGAAATTTTTATAGGCAACTAAGCACAGACATAAACATTCATTTGAAAATAATAAAAAGAAATAGCATTCAGGCCTTGACTTTCTATTTTTTTGAGATGGAGTTTCACTCTTGTTGCCCAGGCTGGAGTGCAGTGGCGTGATCTTGGCTCACTGCAACCTCCACCTCCCGGGTTCAAGCGATTCTCTTGCCTCAGCTTCCCGAGTAGCCGGGATTACAAGCATGAGCCACCACGCCCAGCTAATTTTTTGTATTTTTAATAGAGATGGGGTTTTGCTATGTTGGCCAGGCTCATCTCTAACTCCTGGTCTCAAGTTATCTGTCCACCTCAGTCTCTTAAAGGGCTGGGATTGTAGGCATGAGCCACCATGCCTGGCTTTGAAATTATATTTTGAAAAAGAGCCACAGATTATTCTGGTGGATTTTGCATTCTACAATTTTGTTTAACTTTTATTTTATTTTATACTTTTTAGACCACTTAATGCTAAATTTACATGTGACTCTATGTTAGTGCCTATTATTCTGGTAGCTTTAATTTTTTTAAATTCTAAAATCTCTGCTTTGAATGCTTCCTGTTAACCTCAACTGGAATTATGTTAAACTTTTTTTTCTAATGGAAAGTTTCAAGCATATATAAAAGTAGAGAGGATAGTATAATGAATTCCCAAGTTTCTACTGTCCAACCTCAGTAATCATTAAGTCCTCCTCTCTATACCCCCCGCGCCTCTGTTTCCCCATCACTCTGAAGTAAATTCTAGATATCATTTAGCTTGTAAATATTTTAACATGTATCTCTAAAATAAAGATTTATTTTTTATTTTTTTGAGACAGAGTCTCACTCTGTTGCCAGGCTAGAGTGCAGTGGCGTGATCACTGCAACCTCTACCTCAAGCAATTCTCCTGCCTCAGCTTTCTGAGTAGCTGGGACTGCAGGCGTGCACCACCATGCCCAGCTAATTTTTTACATTTTTAGTAGAGACAGGGTTTTGCCATGTTGGCCAGGCTGGTCTCCAACCCCTGGCCTCAAGTGATCCACCCACCTTGGCCTCCCAAAGTGTTGGGATTATAGGCATGAGCCACCGTGCCTGGACTAAAAAAGGACTTTAAACATAACACCGTTGTCACACTTAACTCCATAACATCATGAAGTTTTGCCAGTCACTATCCATATTTCCTTTCTTCTCTTTTAAAAAAATATTTTGCCTGTTCGTTTTGCAAATGAAAATCACATAGAGCAAGTGGTTGATACCTCTTTAGTCTATTTTAATCTTTAAGTTCTCCCCTATTTTTCTTCCTTTTGCAAGTTAGTTGAAGAAACCATACTGTTGTGTTACACAGCCCAGTCTCAGTACTGCTGATGACATCATTACAGTTTCATTTTTTTTTTGAGATAGAGTGTTGCTCTGTTTCCCAGGCTGGAGTGTAGTGGCACAATCTTGGCCCACTGCAACCTCTGCCTCCCAGGTTCAAGTGATTCTCCTGCTTCAGCCTCTCAAGTAGCGGGAATTACAGGCACATGTTCCCACATCTGGCTAAGTTTTGCATTTTTAGTGGAGATGGGGTTTCACCATGTTGGCTAGGCTGGTCTTGAACTCCTGACCTCAAGTGATCCACCAACCTTGGCCTCCCAAAGTGCTGGGATTACAGGCGTGAGCCACCGCGCCCAGCCTGGTTTTATTTAATACGCTCTGTCCATTATACTCGTACTGGTTTAATAGAGCCTTGCTCAGATTTAGGTTCCATAATTTGGCACAATGTACTAGCAGTTGTACTGTGCTTCCTCTAATGGAAGTCTAATGGAATCAGGAAGTGTAATGGACATAAAGTCTGGTTGTCTGTCTTCTGTGATGCTAACAGCCATTGGTACTTATTGGCTAAATCTATTTGTTAGGAGTTGAAAGACGGTGGTATTTATAATACTTTATTCCTTATTTATTAGCTTTTGTTAGCTAGAATCTGTCCAAAAAAACAACCTCTATTAATTCTTGGTTACTCTGCAGTTTATGGTTTATATGGGAAAGACAGAATAAATGCTTAATTTTTTCCTTTTTTATTTCAAGACAGGGTCTTACTCTGACACCCAGGCTGGAGTACAGTGGTGTGGTCATGGTTCACTTCAGCCTCAACCTCCTGGGCTCAAGTGATCCTCCCACCTCAGCCTCCAGAGTAGCTGGGACCACAGGTGTACCACCACCTCTGGCTAAGTTTTAAATTTTTTTATGGAGACAGGGTCTTACAATGTTGTCCAGGCTGGTCTCAAACTTCTGGGCTCAAGCAATCCCCTGCCTCAGCCTTCCAAAGTGTAGGGGATAACACGCATAAGCCACCGTACCCAGCCAGTACTTTAATTTTCAAAAAAATGTATTTGTTCTCTAGTATTATGCAAAGGTCATCAATTTGGTTTTTAATATCACTGCAAATTCATTAATATGAAGCTATTTGATGAGTTTCCATTATTTTCAGTTAATTATCTCAACTGATGCTCAAATTATCCCACTGTTGGCTATAGGAGCCCTTTCTTGAGCATTCATGACCTGGCCTGTGGTCTTTTGTAGCTTGTTTCCTGGTGGGACAAGATGTTCCAGACTATCTTGTATATTTCATGCCCCACAGTCATTCTTCATGGAGGCCCTGTTCCTTCTGGCAGGTAACAGTGTTTGGAGACCACAGTCTGGGTATCACGAACACTCTTACTGTAGGGTAACCATTATTTCTAGGACTTTTCCAGCAGACAGCATTAGGAAGTGGTGTTTTTATTCTTTCTGAGGTGGAGTCTTGCTCTATCACCCAGGCTGGAGTGCAGTGGTGCCATCTTGGTTCACTGCAACCTTCGCCTCCCAAGTTCAAGTGATTCTCCCGCCTCTGCCTCCAACTCCTGAGTAGCTGGGACTGCAGGCACTTGCCACCACAGCCGGCTAATTTTTGTATCTTTAGGAAAGATGGGGTTTTGCCATGTTGGCCAGGCTGGTCTCAAACTCCCAACCTCAGGTGATCACCTGTCTTAGCCTCCCAAAGTGCTGGACTACAGGAGGTGAGCCACCATGCCTGGCCAGGAAGTGGTATGTTTTTTCATTTTTATTTCTTGAGACTGAGTCTCGTTCTGTCACTCTGTTGCCCAGGCTGGAGTGCAGTGATGCAATCTTGGCTCACTGAAACCTCTACCTCCTGGGTTCAAGCGATTCTTCTGCCTCAGCCTCCCAAGTAGCTGGGACTACAAGCATGCACCACCACGCTTAATTTTTATATTTTTAGTAGAGATGGGGTTTCACCATGTTGGCCAGGCTAGTAAGTGGTGTTTTTTTAAAGGATAAAATATAACCTTAGTTCATACCAATACTTATATTAATGATTCAGATACAGGACTATAGGACTTTTGATTAGCTACACTTATTCTTTCGTCCATGTTTTCTTTCTCCTACCAATTCCATTTCTCAGTGATGCTAACATAAATACTTCTTTGCTTTATCCCACAACACACTCAGTAATTTCAGAATAACAATAGCAACACCACCATAAATAGTATCATTACTAAAACAGAGATGTATTTGCTGTATTTCATCTAAAGCATTTTACGAATCAATGGAAATTCCTTTTGCATGGTTATGCCATCAACCGAATATAGTTTAATTTTGCTTTCAATTTTTGGAGGCTGCTTTTCTAAACCTTCATTTTGTTCTATAATTATGTAAAATATTTATATGGCTTCAAAGTTAACTCTACAAAGAAATTCATATCCCAAGAAGCCTAATCTCTTTTTTTTTTTTTTTTGAGAAAGATTCTCAGTCTGGCACCTAGGCTGGAATACAGTGGTGCCATCTCAGCTCACTGCAACCTCTGCTTCCTGGGTTCAAACGAATCTCACGGCTCAGCTTCCTCAGCCGTGTTCCACCATGGCCCAGTTAATTTTTTTTTTTTTTTCTTTTTAGTAGGGATGGGGTTTTGTCATGTTTGGCAGGCCGGTCTCAAACTCCTGTCTTCAAATGATCTACCCACCTCAGCCTTCCAAAGTGCTGAGATTGCAGGTATGAGCCACAGCTCCCAGCTCCAAAGAAGCCTAACCTCAAAAGCTGGGCACAGTGGCTCATGCCTGTAATCCTAGCACTTTGGGAGGCTGAGGTGGCGGATCACCTGAGGTCAGGAGTTCAAGACCAGGCTGGCCATCATGGTGAAACCCCATCTTAAAAAAAAAAAAAAAAAAAGAAGCCTAACCTGTATTCTTTCTCTTGTAGTCTGTTCCCTCCATTCCTCCCTTGGTAACCAATTTTTAATCTGACAGGTTTTTCTCTCCTAGATAAACAAATCATGTTATACCAGTGATCCTCAAACTTGAGTATCAGAATTACCTGGCGGGCCTGTTAAAACAGAGATTGCTGGGTTTCTGATGTACTGGGTCTTGGGGGAGGGCCTAGGAATCTGCATTTCTAAAGACTTCCCAAGTGACATTGATGCAGTAGGTCCAGGACCACACTTCAGGAACAACTTTTATCCACTCCCTCCCCTGAGGAGTGTATAGTTGTGTTTTTTTTGTTTTTGTTTTTGTTTTTTTTGAGATGGAGTCTCACTCTGACAGTCCAGGTTTGGAGTGCAGTGGTGTGATCTTGGCTCACAGCAACCTTCGCCTCTTGAGTTCAAGTGATTCTCCTGCCTCAGCCTCCCTAGCAGCTTGGAATACCGGTGCCTACCACCACACCTGGTAAATTTTTTGTATTTTTAGTAGAGACAGGGTTTCACCATGTTGACCAGGCTGGTCTTGAACTCCCAACCTCAGGTGATCTGCCCACCTCGGCCCCCCAAAGTGCTGGGATTGAAGGTGTGAGCCACTGCACCCAGCCGAGATATTCTTTACTGTTATTGCCTCACAGTACTTCATTATGTAGACATACTACAGTTGATTTAACCAGCTTATTGTTTAGGGACATTTGGGCTGTTTCTAGTCTATTGCAGTAACAACATCACTGCAAAGAACAGTATTATGCTGGCATGAATTTCTGTCAATGTATCCCTGGAACAGATCTCTCGATGTAGGCTTGGTGGGTGGAAGGGTAAATCTGGATGCTCAATGCATAACCCACTTCCTCTCCATAGGATCCAGGCCATTTTGTTTTCCTACAGTTGTGAGAGTGTCTGTTTCCCCATGGCCTTGCCAACATTTCCAGCACTGTACCAAATTTTCAAGCATGGTATTTAAAAAAAGCTAAATTCGTTGCCAACTTTTGAAAGTTGAAAGATATAAATATTTCAATTTCTAGCTTCTCCTGAAAGATATAAGACCCATCAGCCCTGGACCTGCAGTTTCCCATGGCAATGAGCATCCCCAGGAGACAGGCAAACACCTCGATTGCTACAGACTCCACCTGGGCCCCTTTGTGCAGCTGAGTTCACTTACTGGTTCCTGAAGCCAGCCCTGGCTCCATGGATGAAAATGGCAGAGGGACTTGTTCAAGGTCTATGAGTGAGTTAACGTACCAAAAGGGGACTTTTCTCTGACTTTACTGAGTTTCTTGCTTTTTCTTTCCTGCCTCTTGCTATACTCAACCTGGAATTGAACAGTATCAAGTTGGCTTTTCTTACATTTTGGGACCTGTAGGATCATTTGAAATACCAAATTAGAAAGCAATAGTTTCAATGAAATTGCACAATATAGTTGACCTACTCTTACCCAGCTATCGTAAGACCTCGTGACTTTTGCACAACTGAACTTCTGTGCATTTTGTGACATCATGGCTCTATCCCTATTTTAAATTGGAAGGTTTTGATTTAAATCAGCTATATATCCTTAATTGGAATTAAATGCAAGTTTGCCCTTAGGTGTGGAAAGCTCTGTGGACCTTACAAATGATGATTTCACACAAAAATCAACAGCTCCTAGTTAGGTAAATCCTTACACACCATTAGTTATTAAATATGCTACCCCAAATTCACTGAAGGATTTAGGAAAATATGTTTTACAAATATATACAAATTATAAGTAAAGACATTTCCTGGCCAGCCACAATGGCTCACGCCTGTAATCCCAGCACTTTGGGAGGCTGAGGCAGGTGGATCATGAGGTCAGGAGTTCAAGACCAGCCTGGCCAAGACAGTGAAACCCCATCTCTATTAAAAATACAAAAATTAGCTGGGTGTGGTGGCGGGCGCCTGTAATTCCAGCCTCTTGGGAGGCCGAGGCAGAGAATCACTTGAACCTGGAAGGCAGAGTTGCAGTAAGCTGAGGGTTGCACTCCAGCCTGAGAGAGCGAGACTGTCTCAAAAAAAGAAAAAAAAAAAGATATTTCCTTCTTGTTCTTCAAATCTTTCAAGCTGTAATTAGAGATGACACACAAATGGGACATTTAATTATGAAAGAACCAAAATATGACATCATCAGTGCTGATCAATCAAGCACATGGGTCCCTAAAATATCTATTGAATAGGTAGCCACAGTAAAGCAGTATGTGTGATTTTAGGGTTTCTTCTGCCACAGGGTCCTCCTCTCCCTCTCTGATTCCTGAGAAGTTTTCACTGGACATGACAAGAAACACTTAAGATGTAAATAGCATATGGGTAAGCTAACTTTGACTTCAATTCACTCTAATGATATGAATATCCAATATCCCATACTTCCTTGAGGATAATTTCAGTAAGTGGGTGGCACATGTGCATGCTTGTGTGTGTGTGCATGCTCATGTGTGCACATGCTCGTGTGTGTGCCTGTGTGTTTGTGCGTGTGCTCATGTGTGTGTGCATGTGCTCGTGTGTGTGTGTGCATGCATGTGCATGTGTGTGTGTGGGCTCTAAAAGAAGAAGGCATCAATAGACAGAGAGAGCCAGACAGTGAGGGAGAGGAGGCAACTAAGGGAATGTTGAGGCTCTAAAGACAGACTTTGTCCCCCTTCTAAACGTTACCCTGGGTCAGCCTTGCTGCCAGGCAAGATGAGTGATGGATGTGAGTGGGGAGGTAAAAGCAGTAAAGTGGGCCATTCTAGGTGTTTCCAGAGACCTAAAACAGACAAATGTTTACTGGGAGATTTGGCCTGTCTAGTAGGAAACTTTAATTTCTGTCCTTCGAGAGAATGGTGGGTTCATTCTTCCATGAGCACCAGGTAAAAAGCAACCATTTTCTCCATTTGTCGACAAGGACTTTGGTAACCGACACATACCATGACAGTAAGCGAGGTCAAAGATGAATCTCTGTGCAAGCCCCAGTGGTTCAGATAAAAGCAGAAGTCAACCGCCGGCTTCACCTCTTTCATTAATGGCCTCCCAATTAAAGCAATTTTCCATTCCTCCTTAGAGTTGAGCAGCGGGTTGTGTTTCAGAAGCAGTAACATCTTGTAAATGTCAGGGTGCTGAGTGAAAGGCAGGCGGTGCCTGGCCCAGCACTCCCTCACCATCCCATTTCCATGCGAAAGTGTGAGTGCTTACATCAGTCTTCTAATTAAACTTGGCAATATTACAATGAAAAGGAAGATTTGGGAGTTGGCAACATGGCACATAAACAAACTTTTATGTGAATAATTAAGAGCTAAGCATACGCTGGAACATCTTTAATCAACTTGTGATTAGTTACCAGCGAAGGCCCAAGCGTTTCCGAAAGCTTCTACGTTGTTTATGTGCTGTGGTTATTTTAACCTACCTCCTTTGAAATACTCAGCATATCTCTTTACCCATTTCTCCATCTTTCATTTTTCTCCTTTTTTTTTTTTTTTCAAATCCCTGCCCAATTTTGACACAGGCAACTTGTGAAAAGGATTGTATGTGTGCGCTTACACATGTGTAAATGTGTGTGCACAAACATTTTACATGTGCACATACACACACATAGGAGAGTTTTATATATGAGCCTGCGGATTGCCTTTAAGGAACTTTGCTCCAATAAAACTCAGGGTGTTGTGTTTGGAAGCCATCCGGATGGATCTGCCGCCATCAGAAAAGACACTGTGGAACAGTCCAGAGCCAGGTCAGACTGGAACGACCTCTCCCAGTTCACACCGGACTCTGGGGCGCAAAATGAAGTGCTAATTCCCAGTGGGTCTCAAAACGTCATGGTGAACTTTTCTTAAACCTTCTTCAAACTACAACTGCAGAAACCACATGAAGGTTTGCTGCAAAACAATTTTGCTAAAGGCTTTCCAAACAAAAGCTGTTGAATGTTTAAGGGAATTTAAACAAGACTGGAATCTATATATACATACTAGGTAGCATACCGAGAAAGTAATGTAGGAAAGGCTCATTGGGTATGTTTCAGAATTCCATCTCCTATTCGAGTTTGGACCATGAGCTCATGGTCATTTAGGCTTTGAAAGTCAAATGCTTTCCTTGTATTTTTCTAAACCATTGATGCAGCTTAAGAAACTGTAAAAGAGTACATTTTTAAAATGTAGGAGATTCATCCTGCTCCTATCCTTCAAAAGATAATTATCTACATTAGAGATAATTATAGATTATACATAAAATATCTAGAGTCTCTTGAATTTTTTTTTTTTTTAGACAGAGTCTTCCTCTTGTCGCCTAGGCTGGAGTGCAATGGCACTACCTCGGCTCCTACTGTAACCTCTGCTTCCCAGGCTCAAGTGATTCTCCTGCCTCAGCCTTGCAAGTAGTGAGATTACAGGTATGCCACCATGCCTGGCTAATTTTTTTTTTTTTTTTCAGTAGAAATGGGGTTTCACCATGTTGGCCAGTCTGGTCTCAAACTCCTGACTTCAGGTGATCCACTTGCCTCAGCCTCCCAAAGTGCTGGGATTACAGGCATGAGCCACCAAGCCTGGCCTATTTGTCTAACATTTTTCTACTCCTGACTCTCCCCTCCCAAGCTTTAAGTTTTTCCTAGCAAAGAGTAACATTATCCAGTTACTGTGAAAGTTCTAGAACAGCTACAGGTTAGTGTCTCCCTTTCTCCAGGAACAATACATTTTTGCTACTGAAACAAAAAGAGCAGAGAAACATCTGTGGCTAACTCCATCTGATATAAAACCAACAAGTCATTTTAACTTTAAAATGAAAAATTCTGTACTCTGTAGCTGTCTCAGTTGGCCCAGAAAAATGAACCCTGCTTACCTTGGACACAAAACACTCTGCTATGGCCACAGGATCATTTTCACAGTTTTCCAAATCTTGCAGAAGTTCACTAATAAAAAAATAACAGCCAGGAAGTATTAGATTATAGTCTTCTGGATGAGTACATTTTGTACAATTTAAAAGTTTAAACATTTCCACGGCATTTACAAGGAATCATATAATTGGATAACTGAGGACCTGCTGTCATTGTATCCCAGGCTTAGGTAAGGGACTTACCCAAGGTCATGGTGGAGCAGGGGATTAAACACAGGTTGAACCCATAGCTCTCCCACAAGAGTTATGCCCTGCCTATAATTTCAGTTTTATAGACGCTTGTCATCATCTACATGAATGCTCATCCATGCTCATTTAGACATCAAACAGCTGCCTGGTTACCAGGCACAGTGTAAAGGATTAGGAACACATCAGTGAGTGAAGTGAGATATGGGCTCTCAGGGGTCCCCAACCAACCTTTTTGGCACCAGAGACCAGTTTTGTGGAAGACAACTTTTCCACAGACTGGGTTGTGGGGATGGTTTGGGATGATTCAAGTGCATTACACTTATCATTAGAGTCTTACAACCGAGATCCTGCGCATGCACCGTTCACGATAGGGTTCGCACTCCTATGAGAATCTGATGCCGCCACTGATTTGACAGGGCGTAGGGCTCAGCTTCGCTTGCTGCTCACCACCTCCTGCACGGCCCAGTTCCTGATAGCTCACAGACTGGTATTGCTCTGTGACTTGGGGGTTGGAGACCCTGTGGCTCTGGTATTATGGAGCTTCCAATCCACTGGAAGAGGCAGGCATTCAATAAACTTTCACATTGGCAGCCCAGGTGCGGCGGCTCACACCAGTAATCTCAGCACTTTGGGAGGCTTAGGATCACCTTCAGGATCCCCTGAGGTCAGGAGTTTGAGACCAGCCTGGCCAACATGAAGAAACCCCCATCTCTACTAAAAATACAAAAAAATTAGCCAGGCGTTGTGGCAGTCACCTGTAATCCCAGCTATTTGGGAGGCTGAGACAAGAGAACGGCTTAAACCTGGAAGTCGGAGATTGCAGTGAGCCAAGACTGAGCCATTGCACTCCAGCCTGGGCAACAGAGCGGGACTCCGTCTCAAAAAAAAAGAAAAAAATCACACTAACAAAATTATAATAAAGATAGTGCTTTAAAGGAGAGAGATGCTGGGGAGGGAAGTATCTTTCCTCAAATGCAAATCCACGTTATTTTTTTACTGGCAGTATCATTTTTTAAGTAAAAGCTTAACACTTCATTGTGTGACTGCACCATAATTAATTCAATGACTCTCGCACTGTTGGATAAAATTCTATTTATGGAATTGATGGGCCAAAAAACATTCTCAGTGTAAACGTTAACACATTTCCAAATTGCACTCCACGTAAGTGATATTAATACATACTTTACTATGTTAAGTGTTTATTTTAATGAGCCATGTTATATATTTAATAAAAGTTCAGTGGTTCACAGGAATTATAATAAAAACAAGCAGTTTCTTGTTTTCCACTTCTCATTCTCAATGGGCACTGCCTAGAAGCATTTTTGATTCTTTAGGCTGCTTCCGCTCTAAGAAAGCCCATGTTTCTAAACACGCTGATTATGATTTTCATTAGTTTTTATTTTTAGATGTTATTTACTTCTCAGTTTCCCCAAACTTAAACTTACCCCTCTGTCTCCTCAACTAGTTCTAAGATCTTTTTTTTTTTTTTTTTTTTTTTAATTTTAAAGACAGGGTCTCGCTCTGTCAACCAGGCAGGTCTCAAAACTCGTGGGCTCAGGTGATCTTCCTGAAGTGCTGGATAGTGTGAGCCACTGTACCCAGCTTCTCAACTAGTTCTGTTATACAAGTTGATTAAACATCAGAATTTACATCTTTAAAGACTATGTAAATATTATTCCCTGTTAGCCTTAGAGTATATGATGATTTCATTTCCTTTCTTAGAGAATCAAGTTTTCCCTGGAGTTAAAATTGTTTCTCTTTTTTCTCGTTTTTCAAGGTCAACACCATTAATTTATTCTCAAATTGTGTGCTAGAAGTATAAATCTTGTCTCACTATGTTCAAACTTCAGATATTCTATTGTTTGCATTTTTCTCTTGGTGACCTCTGCTTCAACCTGGACAGGCTGCTCTCCAGGCCTGCTGATTATTTCTTCAACATAATCCTAATTATGACCCTTGCTGGTCTCCTGTATTGAATGCCTTGCTTCTTAGATACTATTTCCAATGTATTCCCTCCTTTGAGAGATTACAATATCAAGCAATAGCTTTCTCAGAAAGAGTAACAGGAGGTATGCTTTCTGAGACTCTTCCTGTTTCAAAATGTTCTCCCTTCACACTTGGCTAATAACATCAGTAGATATAAAATTCTTGGTTGAAAGTAATTTTCTCTAAGTATTCAGGGCACTATCTGCTGCTTTATAGATTCCAAAGCTGCTCTTGAGATTCCAATATTATTCTGATCCCCAGCCCATTCTGAAAGCTTTTAGAGTTTTCCCTTAGTTGATATAATTGTGACATTTTGTGATAGTAGGCTTTGGGTGGGTCTTTTCTCATATACTAAGCCAATGTAAAAATTTGGGAAATGATCTGGATAGTAATTCTTCAAGTGTGGTCTAAGGACCCCTGGGGTTCCTGAGATGAGACCCCTTTAGGAGGTCCACAAGGTTGGACCTCATACAAACACTGAAACATTATTAAATTTTTAAACTTTCATTCTCTCATGAGAGTACAGTGAACTTTTCCAGGGGCTACATGACATGTGATATCACAACAGATGGAAAGTTGAAGCAGATATGAGAATTCAGCTGTCTTCTAGTAAGTCAGGCAGTAAAAAGATCTGTAAAAATGCAAAACAGTTCCAAAACAAACAAATAAAATTAGTGGAAAAAGTAGCAAAATTATTTTTCTAGAAATATGTGGGCTAGTTTCTTTTTTAGTATTAGTAAATAGATAACAAGTTCTCAGTTTCCATTTCTAATGTGGCAAACAAAACATAATAAAACACAAACAAAAAAGCTTTTTGGGTCTTTAGTATTTTTAAGCATGTAAGAGATCCTGGACCAAAACACTTGAGAATCTCTGCTCCTGTCTGGGTGTGGTGACTCATGCCTATAATCCCAGCACTCTGGGAGGCCAAGGAGGGTAGATTGCCTGGGATCAGGAGTTTAAGACCAGCATGGCCAACATGGTGAAACCCTGTCCCTACCAAAAATACAGAACTACTTGGGTGTGGTGGTGTGCACCTGTAGTCTCAGCTACTCAGGAGGCTGAGGGAGGAGAATCACCTGAACCTGGGAGGCAGAGATTGCAGTGAGCTGAGGTTGCACCATTGCACTCCAGCCTGGGCAACAAGAGTGAGACTCTGTTTAAAAAAAAAAAAAAAGAGTATCTGCTCCTGAGTTATATCTTTGATATTTCCTCCCTTCCAGTTTTAAAGTTCTTATTACTCACATATTGGATCTCCTGGTCTGAGATTCTAATTTTCCTCATTCTTCCTGTTCTACTCTCTTCCTGTTTATTGCTCCATTTTTTTTTTTTTTTTGGGTGGGGGAGATTTCTACTTTATTTCCCATTTCTTTTTTGTCCTTTTGTTCTTTTTCCATTTCTTTTATTGATTTTTTGTCTCTACCATCAGATTTTCAATTTCAAAGTTTTTTTTTAACATGCATTTTGGATGTTTCTTGCTTATGCTTCTGTTCTTATTTCATGGGTGCAAAATCTTCCCTTATTTCCAAAGATGCCATGATGATGATGATACTGATTTTGTACTTTTCTTTCCTGTTCTTTGTTTTCTACTGAGTTCCCTTTTTGATGATTTTAGCTTCTGTCTTTCATGTTAGCTATTATTCTCAAATTCTGAGTATCTTCATTTGTCCTTTCATATTTGAAAGAGAGCCACAACGTCAATGGAGTTTATCATGTGGTGTTCCTCTTTCTAAGGCACTGGTTCTGAAACTTTTGGTGTCAGAACCTGTTTATACTCTTAAAAAATTTAGTGAGAAGAGTAGCATTGTTTCCTATTTTTGCAAATTTTTACTCTCTAACTTGATAGAACATAGCTGGATTCTTATATCTGTTTCTGCATTCAATCTGTTGCAATCTGTTGTTTTGGTTGAAGTACACAGGAAAAAAATTCCAGCCTTACACAGCATGTCACTGGAAAAGGGAGGAGTATTTTAGTGGCCTTTCTGATAAGTATAGATATCTTTCATTGCACACTAATATCCTTCATGGAACAATGAAAGTCAGCAAGTGGTAATGGATTAAAGGCCTGTTTGAGTCTGACACCATAACAATGCACTATACTGTTACTTTATTATATTATTATTTTTTTGAGACAGAGTCTTGCTCTCTTGCCCAAGCTGGAGTGCAATGATGTAATCTCAGCTCACTATAACCTCCGCCTCCCAGGTTCAAGCGACTCTCCTGCCTCAACCTCCCAAGTATCTAGGATTACAGGTGACCACCATCATGCCCAGCTAATGTTTGTATTTTTATTATAGATGAGGTTTCACCATGTTGGCTGGGCTGGTCTTGAACTTCTGGCCTCAAGTGATCCACCTCCCTCAGCCTCCCAAAGTGTTGGGATTACATACATAAGCCACTGCTCCTGGTTAGGGCTATTATCCCTATGAAGCTGCACCTATCTACTTTCTTTGCTTGCTATTCAATAAGCAATTACTAAAAGACGACGTGCCAGGCATGGTCAGAGGCAATGAGGTTATAGGGGTAAACAAGGTGGATACAGGCCCTGTCCCATGTGTTTATGTTCTGACCACAGGTGAAAAGTACTAATCATTGAATAAACATCATAATATCACATTGCACTATGTGATATGAAGAAATAGAAGGTAGATTGATAGAGAGCAACTGAGACTGGGCAAGGGTGAAAGAAGGTTGGGACAGTTAGAGAAGGTTCTCTGAGGAGGTGGTATTTGAGTTCAGGAAGTCTTGACAGAGAAAGTCATTTAAGAATGAGATCGTAGGCCGGGCGCAGTGGCTCACACCTATAATCACAGCACATTGGGAGGCTGAGGCAGGCAAATT